ATTTATCAAGTGGTATATCTGATTTAAAACGTTACCCTTAAAAGCTGTCTAATCAACAATGCATCATATATTCACATCTCTTTCTTAATCAATCATTTATTTTTAACTGTGAGTAATCTTTAAAGTAACTTGTGGATTTCTGCTTTAGAAACATGAGGAAAATTGTCAGAATTCTACACTTTATCTAAAAACCGACGGTAGCTTCTACATTACTGATAAGATAAAGTTTTAAAGGGTATGGTTGTGATTCCAGCATTCTTCTTTATTTATGTTAAAGGTCACTTAAAATTACAACTAAAGTTCTAATATTTCTCTCTTTATTGTAGAGGAGACATGTACTGTATATGTACAAGGAGAAATGAAGAAAGAAGAGATTAAAGAAGAAAATGTTTATATCAAGATGAAGAAGGAAGTACTCTCTCCTTCTACTGAAGAGGATACAAGTACTGTATATATAAAGGAAGAATATGTTGAGATGGCAAATACTGAGATGACAGGTAATGATAAATGAATTTACTTCTTTCTTACTTATTTACTAGAAGAGGAACTTGATCACACAAAATAATGAAAAGTTTATTTTTAATGAAATAGTTCTCATTGAAGAGGATCCTCTGCTGGTTGGATCAAAGATAACCAAGAAGAGGAAACTAGAAGGAGTGAGATATCCATGTGATAAATGTGAGTACAATGCAACCAAAGCAAATGATCTTAAGAGACATTTTGAGAGTAAACATGAAGGAGTAAGATATCCTTGTGATGAGTGTGATTACACTGCAACTCGAGCATTTAATCTGAAAACTCATATTGAGAGTAAACATAAAGGAGTGAGATATCCTTGTGATAAGTGTGATTACGCTTCAACTCGAGCATTTGATCTTAAAAGACATATTGAGAGTAAACATGAAGAAGTGAGATATCCTTGCAACAAATGTGAGTATGCTGCAACAACACTAAGTTATTTAAGAAATCATATTGAGAGTAAACATGAAGGAGTGAGACATCCATGTGATAAATGTGAGCACACTGCCTCTTCACCAAGTGCTCTTAAAGTTCATATTAAGAGTAAACATGAAGGAATAAGATATTCTTGTAATATATGTAAGTATACAGCACCAAGAGTAAATGATCTAAAACAGCATATTGAAAGAATACATGAAGGAGTAAGATATCCTTGTGATGAATGTGACCACACTGCATCTACAAGATATAATCTTAAAATTCATATTGAGAGTAAACACAAGGGAGTGAGATATCCTTGTAATAAATGTGAGTATGCTGCAACTACAGCAAATGATCTTAAAATACATAAAGATAATAAACATGAAGGTGTAAAATATCCTTGTGATAAATGCAAGTATGTTGCAAATACTCTGCAACTTCTAAAAAGGCACATCAAGAGTATCCATGAAGGAGTAAGATATTCTTGCAATAAATGTGATTTCTCAGCAGCTAGCGCAAGTAATCTAAAAAGACATAATAAGATTAAACACGAAGAAGCCACATAACCTTGGGATAAATGTGTGTATGCTGCATCTGCTGCTGCTTCTTCTTTACACAAAGAGATATGAAAAACCAGAGATAAGCAAACATTAAATTTTTAATCTAAATCAGCTGTCACACTATTTTCTGTCGTTTGACGATTTTTTCTTATGTGACTCGGTCTTGATTTCTAAATTTAAATTAAATGCATAAAATCACTTTCATAGCAACCCTGACGGTAATAAGAGCTAACAAAATGTATCTTTTAGTTTCTGGAGTTGGACAACTATTTTAAACCAACCAATATTTTATGACTTCAAACAAAAATACACCTATCACTTACTTTATAATTAATAACTGTCTGTCTTGTGTATCTTTTAGGAGCGGAAACTTTCTTTATTTTCCAATCCTTTATAGGACACAAATCATATAAGTCTTTAACATCAGTTGGTACTTGTTTTCTAGTTTTTTTTATTTATATTTGTACAAACTGTAATTGTAATTATTATTATTATTATTTTTGGTAAAAAATCAGAGAAGCGTCAAATGATTTAATTTCGTTTTAATAATAAATTTTTTCTGAGAAAATGGCCAGAATCATGAAAAGGGAAGATTAACAGACATATTTTACACACAATTTACCTATTGGGCCGTACAGGTCCCACACTAACATTACCTGGTTGAGTGAAGATTCTTTAACATTATTTAACATTTATTTCTTTAACATTAGTTTTGCATTAGCGGAGTAAACTTTTCTACAGGAACCTTTGTAAGAAAGATGGACAACGCCAGACTTTCCAGACAGTACTCCAAACTGAAGTTTGCAGATCTATCTCTTGGACAGCTTCGGAAGAACCAAGAAAATCAGTTTCATGTCCCTGTAGACTTTTTTAGTGTTTAATTAAGTAAGAATAAGTAAATTTTTTTTAGATGATACTTTAATAAATCTATGTATTTTGAGTTGTCGAGTTTGGGGAAGGAATTCAAAAAAAAAATTTAGAGGGGGGGGGGGGAAAGAATTAAAAATATGGAATTATAACACCCCTGCTTTTCTAATCTGTATTTTTTCTTTGCTTGATTCGATTAATAATCTTAATTTACTTGATATTTTCACCATGTTCTCGTTTTATAAATAGCTATTCCAGATATAATGGCAGAAACAATAGAAGAATATATTAATCTTGAGGAGTTTGAGATGAAAGAAGAGACAGTTTTCAAGGAAGAAGAAATCTTTCTCTCCTCTACTGTAGAGAACATGTGTTCTGTTTATATACAGGGAGAAGGAATAAAGGAGGAAGAGTTGAAGGAGGAGATAGTTTATATCAAGGATAAAGTAATTACTCCTTCTACTGTAGAGAACACATGTACTGTATATGTACAGGGAGATGTCAAAATGGAAAATACTAGAATTCTAGGTAATGCAAAAATATAAAAACTTTTTTTTTATTTCCAATAATATTGTACTAGATAAATAAAAAATTGTTTTTTTTTCAAATAATGAATCAAAATCATTTTAGAAATTGTGAAACAAGAGGATTCTCTGCTGTCTGTGTCAAGGAGAACAAAAAGTTTACAAGATGAAAAGTGCTTTTCGTGCGTTAAATGTGAATATTCTTCAAAATATTTAATTCTTCTGAGAACACACATGAAAAGTAAACATAGAATAGTTCTCAATGAAGAGGATCCTCTGCTGGTTGGATCAAAGAAAACCAAGAAGAGGAAACTAGAAGAAGTGAGATATCCATGTGATAAATGTGAGTACAATGCAACTGAAGAAAATGATCTTAAGAGACATTTTGAGAGTAAACATGAAGGGGCGAGTTATCCATGTGTTAAATGTGAGTATTATGCAACCAGCCAACGTTATCTCAGAGAACATATCAAGAATAAACATGAAGGAGTGAAATATCCATGCGATAAATGTGAATTCTCTTCAACTACTGTAAGGGGTCTTATAGGACATATCGCTAGTATACATGAAGTAGTGAAATATCTATGTGATAAATGTGAGTTTTCTGCAACCAGCCATAGTTATCTCAGAGAACATATCAAAAATAAACATGAAGGAGTGAAATATCCATGCGATAAATGTGAATTCTCTTCAACCACTGTAAGGGGTCTTAATAGACATATCGCAAGTATACATGAAGAAATTAAAAGATATCCATGTAATAAATGTGAATATGCTACAACTACAGCACACCAGCTAAGGAAACACTTATGTAAGAAACACTAATGAAGAATATAACTCGCGTCCACATGCTCTATAAAGATATTAGTTTAGAAGGAAGTACCCTCTCCTTCTACTGAAGAGGATACATGTACTGTATATATAAAGGAAGAATATGTTTATATCAAGATGAAGATGGAAGTACCCTCTACTTCTACTGAAGAGGAGACATGTACTGTATATATAAAGGAAGAATATGTTTATATCAAGATGAATTTTGGAAGTACCCTCTCCTTCTACTGAAGAGGATACAAGTACTGTATATATAAAGGAAGAATATGTTGAGATGGCAAATACTAAGACGACAGGTAATGATAAATGAAATTATTTCTTTCTTACTTATTTACTAGAAGAGGAACTTAATCACACAAAATAATGAAATGTTTATTTTAGATGAAATAGTTCTCAATGAAGAGGATCCTCTGCTGGTTGGATCAAAGATAACCAAGAAGAGGAAACTAGAAGAAGTAAGATATCCATGTGATAAATGTGAGTACAGTGCAACTAAAGCAAATGATCTTAAAGAGACATTTTGAGAGTAAACATGAAGGAGGAAGATATCCTTGTGATAAATGTGAATACATTGCAACATACCAAGGTAATCTAAGAAGACATATCAAGAATAAGCATGAAGAAGTGAGTTATCCATGTAATAAATGTGAGTTTTCTACAACCACACTGTTAGAAATGCCATTTTGTAAATTTTCAATATCATCATATTTCAGGCCAATATAACCAGTATATAGAAGACATTCATTAATAAATCGTTTGAAATTTGATGTTTTCTGGTCAGAATGATTTTACTTGAATTAGCCTAAACACTAGTTGATATAAGTAAAATTAGAATCACATCAAATTTTTAAATGAGAATTGATACTTGAAGAGAGTCAAATTTTAATTGAAGTAAGCAGAATTCTGGTTAATGCAGAATCCAAGTAGTATTCTGATTGAATTGAGTGCCGGTACGTGTCTGAACGCCGGATCACTGTAATTAAAGTAAGCAGGATTATGCTTGCTTCGATTTCTGATGATTGAAGTAAGTAGAATTCAAGTGAATGTAATTAGAATTTAGCGTACAGGCCGTAAATTTATATCAAGCAAAATTATCGTTGATATATTACAACGGATCTTCATGGCTTGGTGCGTGAACTAAATACTGTTGATTGTAAGCGGGTTTTTCTAACAGTGCAGCCTTAGTTATCTAAGAGTGCATATTAAGAATAATCACGAAGGAGTAAGTTATTCACGAGTTCTCTCCAGGCATGACACCGGTAATTGTTTCAAAATAGGGATATGTTCGAAAATGAAATCAAGAATCTATGGAGGACGTAAGGTCGGTCTCCAATAACACGAGGAATCTTTCTCCAGTATATATTTAGTTTATAAGTATAACAATAGTTTAAGTAGCGAGAGAAATAATCGGTCGAAATCACATTCGTATTACTTGAGAGAATGCAGCGTAGTATTCTCCAGCTCTCTTCTTTGTTCCCGGCTTTGCTGTAAGGAGGCCGCCGGGTCTCGTCTTCCACAAATCATCAAAAACTAATTCTCACACCTTATTATTAGTTTAAAATTGACATTTATTGTTTCAATACATACATAGTTTTTGTCATTTTTTATAAATATATTGTGTAATTTTGTTCTACTCTTAAAGATATTTACTCTTGAAACAGATAACTTTGCAGATTTGGGCTATTTCTAACAGAAATGGCCAAGTGTTAGTTTTGAAACTAATATTCCCTGGAATTGGAATGGGCAGCTATGTTTATTGTTTCCCCGTTTACATAGACAACTGGGAAACGAACAGTTTTGAAAAAAAAATCAATTGAAAATTCCATGATGGAATATTATTTATTATGCGTGCAATGAACACAGATGAACAGTAAAATAATGAATGAAACAGTTACTGTTCACAAAAACAAATATCTGAGGGGACCTGTTTATTGACATTACTTTGACATCAAAAAGCTTCATTTTACAACTAAAATCCAAAAATATGAGTCTCCGAACTAGTGTTCACACCTCAAATATCAAGTAGTTTTAACTCACCGTCCGTTTTTATGGATTTAAATTGACCTAACACTTTGACCACGTCTAAAGCCAATTCAACTCCACCTACCTAGCATAACCTATCTAACCTACTATAAGATATTTCATAATCTTTGTACCTATAGACTTTACTTAGATAAAACTCTACCTAGATAAAACGCTACTTAGATAATACTTAGATAAAACTCTACTTAGATAAAACTCTACCTAGGTAAAACTTTACTTAGACGAAACTCTACTTAGATATAACTCTACCCTCATAAAACTCTACTTAGATAAAACTCTACTTAGATAAAACTTTACTTAAATAAAACTTTACTTAGATAAAACGCTACTTAGATAAAACTCTACCCTCATAAAAGTCTACTTAAATAAATCTCTAACCTCATAAAACTCACTTAGATAAAACTTTACTTGGATAAAACTCTACTTAGATAAAACTCTACTAAGATAAAACACAACTTAGATAAAATTCTTCATAGATAAAACACTACTCTCAAAAAACACTACCTAGATAAAACTCTACTTAGATAAAACACAACTTAGATAAAATTCTACTTAGATAAAACTCTACCCTCATAAAACTATACTTAGATAAAACTCTTCTGAGATAAAACTCTACTTGGATAAAACTCAACTACTTAGATAAAACTAACCTTATTTAGAAATAAATGATTTTTTAAAATTTTGATATTTGTATTTACAATAGAAAAAATATATGAAGGACCCAATATGCTACTGCAAACTTTAATCTCTAAGAAAAGTGAACACTGCATCATTTGGATTTATAGTTGGAGGGGGGTTAGTTCCGAACTTCGTTTGTAGTGGAGGCAAAGTAAACCTCGGAATTAATTGATAATCGGTTCCATTTCCTCGTTTACCTGGAAAAAAATCAGTTTTCAAGCAATGTTAGAATTTAACATTTTGTATACTGTAATTTATATAATATGATAATTGTCTCTATTTAATGATAATATATTTTTCAAAATAATGCGAAACTAACCAGTCAGTAATATATTTTTCAAAATAATGCGAAACTAACCAGTCAGTAATATATTTTTCAAAATAATGCGAAACTAAACAGACAGTAATATATTTTCAAAATAATGTGAAACTAAACAGACAGTAATATATTTTCAAAATAATGTGAAACTAACCAGACAGTAATATATTTTTAAAATAATGTGAAACTAACCAGTCAGTAATATATTTTCAAAATAATGCGAAACTAACCAGACAGTAATATATTCTCTTAATGAAGGGTATTAAATGATTTAGCAAAGAAAGTTGCGGAATATTCAGTCCAGTGGTCTCAGAAGTCTCATCTTTTTAGAGTAACCCTGAATAAACATAATTTACCTTTTGAAGCTGCCGCTGAAACATCGGCACTGGGTGAGTCGGCACCATAGGGTACTGCTGGTGCTTCGTACGGTTCAAATGGTTCAGGATCGTCAATAGTTTCAATGAGAAAACTTTTACACATTCCTTATAGCAAAGATACAAAACGTATTAACTTCTTTTTAAATTAATAGATCAAAAACAACAATTTCTTTTACTTTTTAGATTTTAGCCATTAAAGTACGAGTCGTTGTTATGTTACTCAGAAAAATTACCAAAAATGAATATGGCAAAAATGCATTTTCCATTGTAAAAGAATAAGTATAAGAATAAGAAGTTAAACTTAAATTTAAGAAGTTAAACTTGAATTTAACAGTTGAATTTGAATATAAGAAGTTAAACTTGAATTTTAGAAGTTGAAATTGAATTTAAGAAGTTAAACTTGAATTTTAGAATTTGAATTTAAGAAGTTAAACTTGAATTTAAGAAGTTGATTTTGAATTTAAGAAGTTAAACTTAAATTTAAGAAGTTAAACTTGAATTTAAGAAGTTTAAGGAATTGAGCCCTCGCCACAAATTCTGATTTTTTAATCCCTTTATCTTTGCAACCCAATGTCTTAGATCTTAAATATTTCACACTATGAATCATGTTAGATCACATAATTTGATTTTAAAAAATCAAAGGTTTAGATCATCAGGTTACACAAATATTGGGATTAGAAAATTTGAGTATGTGACAAAGATCTAATTCCTTTAAATTTAAAAAGTTGAATTTTATCTTTGCCTTGTGTAATGAAAAGGAAACAGACAGAAAGAAACATTACTCTAGGTTGATATATCATGATAAACTGATTATTTATCATTTACTTACTAAAGTCAACAATTCTTATAAACTTATAATAACTTATTAAAATTATTTCAATTAAAAAAATATATAATTTTGATTATAATTATATAATTATAATAAAATTATATAAAAATATAAAATAATTTATGGACCCTAATTGGAATTAGTAAACACTAAAACAGGAATATTGCTCCAATTATAGCTTTGCTTTCAAATAAATTGTAATTTCCTTCTTTATTTTCACTTTTATTCAGATTGTTTCTTTTTCTCTTCTCAATTCTTAACCCCAAACATCAATAAACAAAAAAAAATTGTGTATTAAAAATGATATTCATGCGGAAAAAATTCCTTGATTCGTTCGAAAATATCTGTCTTTGTCATTTAAAACTTTGTAAATTACACGAACTGAATAAGTTCTAAAATATTTATGTTCTATGTTTTCTTCTGAATTGTCATTAATCCACCATCAGGGTTTCCTGTTTAATTACTACAATACAATACAATACCAATCCTTTTTACCCCTATTTTCCTCAACATCATAAAAGATAAAACATTGTTGGCAATCTGGCAATCGTTATTTGTTATTGTTTAGATCTTAATGTAAACATTGCGGAAATATTGGGGAAATGTTTTTCAAAGATATTGGGAAAATGAAAAGTTGGATTGGCAAGTTGAAAATCCATTTATTTTCTCAATTTCAGTGAAGAGCGAAAAAAGTTTTTTACAGTTTTTCTTCCAACTAAATTGGAAATAATTTATTTTATTTTATTTCAAAATAAAATGAATGCTAAGAAAATATTCGAACTAGATATTAGATATTTAGTAGTTTCTATGTCCTCATGGATCCACAGTTTTAAATGGAGGAGAAAAATTTAATAGCATTTGAATACCATTAAGAAAAAATATACAAAATTTCAATATTTCAAAAGAAAATTACAAAATTTCAGTGTGCAGCATACAGTGTGCAGTGTTCAGCATACAGTGTGCAGTGTTCAGCATACAGTGTGCAGTGTTCAGCATACAGTGTGCAGTGTGTAACATCCAGTATGCAGTGTGCAGCATACAGTATGTAGTGTTCAGCATACAGTATTCAGTGTGTTCAGCATACAGTGTGCAGTGTTCAGCATACAGTGTGCAGTGTTCAGCATACAGTGTGCAGTGTTCAGCATACAGTGTGCAGTGTGTAACATCCAGTATGCAGTGTGCAGCATACAGTATGTAGTGTTCAGCATACAGTATTCAGTGTGCAGCATACAGTGTGCAGTGTTCAGCATACAGTGTGCAGCATACAGTGTGCAGTGTTCATCATACAGTATTCATTGTGCAGCATACAGTGTGCATTGTTCAACATACTGTTTGCAGTTTTCAGCATACAGTGTGCAGTGTGCAGCATACAGTGTGCAGTGTTCTGCATACAGTGTGCAGTGTGCAGCATACAGTGTGCAGTGTTCTGTATACAGTGTGCAGTGTGCAGCATACAGTGTGCATGTTCAGCATACAGTGCGCAATGTTCAGTTTTCTGCATATAGTGTGCAGTGTTCAGCAAACAGTGTGCAGTGTGCAGCATACAGTGTGCAGTGTTAAGCATACAGTATGCAGTGTTCAGCATACAGTGTGCAGTGTTCAGCCATACAGTGTGCAGTGTGCAGTATACAGTATGTAGTGTTCAGCATACAGTGTGCAGTTTGCAGCATACGGTATGCAGTGTTCAGCATGCAGCGTGCAGTGTGCAGAATACAGTATGCAGTGTTCAGCGTAACATTTTGGTATTAAAGTCACTATTTTAGTTAATAAACGTAAAATTTTGGTTTTGGAACGTAAATAATGCTATTTAACGTATACACGATGTGTTAAGATATGTTTTATCTAATAAAGTTAACTTTGAAGAAGAACAAAATATTGTTCTATTCAATTTGATTTGTTAAACCATGTCTCACTGCGCCGCCAAACAAATCATCAAAACTTATCATGAAAAAAATCTTGACAACATTTTTTTCACCATCCACCTCTCTAATTTAATTTTCTGAAAATGTTGAATTTGATTAGTGAAAACCTTGTAGCATCCAATCTGGAAAACAATTAAAAATAATAACTTAGATTAGATTTTAATTTAAACTAAATAATGAAACACTTAAAGATGAGTTAAAAATGCGACATCAAGTACTATCAATAAGGTAATTAAGAGGGGGGGAGGTAAGATAGTAGGACATTCCCCAACACCCTGAGGCCACATTTAAAGAATTTGAGCCCCTAATCTAATTTGAGACGCGGTTCAAACATGGTCCAGTGTTTAAATTCGGCCTCTGAATTGATTTACTGTTCTGTATGTTCAATATATCCAATTAAATAGGGATTCAAATTTGACTTGAAATCCGAAAAGTAAATGTTCGACTCTTAGCTAGATATTTCTGGATTTTTTCATAATTAAATATAATCAAGCCAACGTTGATGTATTTAAAGCATGGTAAAATATTTAGAAGAATGACCCGATGCCAAAAACCCTCAACCCTTTGTTTAACTCTAAGTTATTAGAGAACCTGGAGAATATGATCATTACACTCCAGGATTCCGGAGCTTAGCTCCGCTGTATTCTAAATCAGGGCCTGGGGACTTGAACTTCATAGACAGCTAACGGACAGTCAGTAGACAGCTAACAGGTAGTTTACCAACTTACTCTACAGAGATTGGACAGCCTCATTCTCATCATCTACTCTAGATACTCGCAACCAGGGTATCAGAGACTCTTCCGATCTACAGCTAGTTCAACTACTCGAGATGCTCGCAATAGACTATCAGAGACTCTTCCGATCTACAGCTAGTTCAACTACTCTAGTACTCTAGACACTTGCAACCAGGGTATCAGAGACTCTTCCGATCTACAGCTGGTTTAACTACTTTAGATGCTCACAACCAGGGTATCAGAGACTTTTCAGATCTACAGCTAGTTCAACTACTCTAGATGCTCACAACCAGGGTATCAGAGACTATTCCGATCTACAGCTAGTTCAACTACTCTAGATATTCACAACCAGAGTATCAGAGACTCTTCCAATCTACAGCGAGTTTAACTACTCTAGATACTTGAGCAGGGCATAATTAAAGGTCCACTGGAGATATAGAGCAAGTAATAAATCTAAGACAATGAGGTTCTACTCCAGTCCAGCTAGTTTAACTACTCTCGTACCGGCCTGTCTGGACTACCCGCGAGAATGTATAAGAAGACTAGGATGTCATAGACTTGTCTCATACTCTGTGAAAGAGCCACAATTAAAAGTTGAAATAAAAGATGGGTTCGAGCCGACTTAAACGCCTTGTAATAGTTAAAGGAAAAATAGAAATAATAAAAGAAATATAGTTAATCTTCCCAATGTACCAATATCTTTATTTATGGTAATATTTTACAAAAATATTAAGATAATTTTAAAATAAAGGATTGCAAGAATTTATCATTTCAAAGTAGGACAGTAATAAGGCAGAACAATTCATGAAGAAAGGAATTGAGTCTTTGCCACAAACTCTGAATTTATAATCTCTATATCTTTGGAACCCAATATCGTAAATTTTTTATATTTCAACCTCGTATTATTTGATCTAACAGAATTTATAGTTTGAAATATCTAAGGTCTACGACATTGGAATCCAAAGATATAGGGTTTAGAAAAGCAGAGTTTGTGGCAAAGACTCAATTCCTTTAAAATGTTTAAGTTGAGTTGAAGAAATATTCAGAACTATCCACATATCATAATAATCAGAAATATTCAGAACTATCCACATATCATAATATTCAGAAATATTCAGAACTATCCACATATCATAAAATTCAGAACTATCCACATATCATAATATTCAGAACTATCCACATATCATAATATTCAGAACTATCCACATATCATAATACCACATATCATAATATTCAGAAATATTCAGAACTATCCACATATCATAAAATTCAGAACTATCCACATATCATAATATTCAGAACTATCCACATATCATAATATTCAGAACTATCCACATATCATAATAATTTTACACGAATAATTCTAGAAACATTAATATCAAATCCTGTCATTTCAAAAAATGGAAAATGAAATAAAAGATATTTTTAAAACAGATTTTAATTTATCAAGATATTTAAACAATTCTATGTCAATATAACTGATACATTTTAACAACATGATTTTACCTTGTAACATTTACTGAAGTAATAAACACTATTTCGTAGACAAAGATAAAATGGTACTACAAATATAATTAAAATTTCTACTTTGATTATATAAGGTTCTACCCTTAAAGGGAGAGAATACTACAATTCTAAAAAAAACATGGATATAACAGGAAATTATAATCTATATGTATCAAATTTCTTATCAAACAATTTTCCTGTTTCAGTTTTTATAATCTTCCAATTAGAGTCACTCTGCACTGCTATGTGAACAAATCGTTCAAAGCACAATTATAGAATCTTTTTTAAATTGGAATGATTTTGATAGATTATTATAAAACGATACACTTAAATTTACTGTGATAATTCCCAAATAATACAGAAAATTGTAAAAAATTACAATTTTAGGATTAAAATAATTTTTTGTTATTTGTCATTTCTTTTAAAAAACTCTGTCGCTGAAAGACCACAAATGTTTTCATTCTGTTGGTAAAATTCAAATTTTGTTAAGATTTTTTCCATACTAAGCAACATTATAAACCTTATCCGTCCCTGCAAGATAGGATTTTTATCCCATTCTAAGCAACATTATTAATCTTATCCGTCCCTGCAAGATAGGATTTTTATCCCATTCTAAGCAACATTATTAATCTTATCCGTCCCTGCAAGATAGGATTTTTATTCCATTTTACGCAACATTATCAATCTTATCCGTCCTGCAAGATAGGATTTTTATCCCATTCTAAGCAACATTATTAATCTTATCCGTCCCTGCAAGATAGGATTTTTATCCCATTCTATGCAACATTATTAACCTTATCCGTCCCTGTCAGATAAGGTTTTTATCCCATTCTAAGCAACATTATTAATCTTATCCGTCCCTGTCAGATAAGGTTTTTATCCCATTCTAACCAACATTATTAATCTTATCCGTCCCTGCAAGATAGGATTTTTATGCCATACTGAGCAACATTATTAACCTGATATTTAACTAAATAAATTAATTTTTTGTTTTCACGTTCGAGAAAAGGAATTGCAGATTTGTTTATATTTTGATTTTCCACTCACATACATTTTCATATGTAATATCTTTCATTCAGAATTTCATCACAAATATTCAATTTTAGTTCAATTGTGCCAATAAATTAATGTGTGAAGCTTATTTATGTTATTTAGAAGATTCTGGATATGGATTCCTAACCAATTAACAAACCATTACCTTTTTGACCTTAAAGGGAGTTACCGGCAATGTATGGTAGTTGAACCGATAATGTAGTAGTGTGTTAAATACTGTAATATTTAGAATATGGTTGCGCTCCCTCCTTTAACAAACCCTTCAATTCCCTCTTTGAGTTTGGGCGAGATTTCAGAACTGAAGAGAATCAGTACACTCCAAGATCCCAGATAGAAAACATGTTTGAGCTTAGCTCCGCTGTATTCTAAATCAGGGCCTGGGGACTTGTAATTTAAAGACAGTCAATAGACAGTCAATAGACAGCCAATAGACAGTCAATAGACAGTCAATAGACAGTCAATAGACAGTCAATAGACAGTCAATAGACAGTCAATAGACAGTCAATAGACAGTTAATAGACAGTCAATAGACGGTCAATAGACAGTCAATAGACAGTCAATAGATAGTCAATGGACAGCTAACAGGTAGTTTATCAAATTGCTCAACAGAGGATACAAGAGGTTGGCAGCCTTCTTCTCATCATCCACTACAACAGTATATCCTCATGCTTCTCAGCATATCAGGGGAACTACATTCTTCAGCTCTACGACTGGTTCAACTACTCTAGATACTCGAGCTGGTCCTATTTAGAGGTCCGCTGGAGGTATAGGGTAACCTATGTATAAAGAGATGTCTGAAGAGACTCTAGATACTCGAGCTGGTGCTATTTAGAGGTCCGCTGGAGGTATAGGGTAACCTATGTATAAAGAGATGTCTGAAGAGACTCTAGATACTCGAGCTGGTGCTATAGAGAGGTCCACTGGAAATATAGAGCAATTGGTAAACCTAAGACAACTGAGTCCAAACCCAGTACAGCTAGATCAACTACCGAGCAGAATCAATTCTCCCGGTGTTTCTATAAGTAGAAACACTGGGGACTCAGAGAGATCGGAATATACAGACGGAGAGAAACTGAAGTGTCTGCTGCTACACACTCTACAGAGAGCTCTACTCGAATCTCAGACCCTACTGATGACCAACAACAGCTAGGTGATCAGTATAGACCAATTACTCCGGGAGAAGAAGAGATCTTAAGGATTCATGAAGATGGGATCTACCGTGCTCCAGACATGATCGAGTTATCAGGAGGGTTATGGATAACTGGGGATCCCCAAGAAAGCTGATCTTTATGGACTGCTCCAATGCAAGCCACTGTGGAAATGGACGACCTAGATTCAGACCTGGAAGAACTCCTAGGGGCTCTCCTGAACCATGGACTCCTCCAACACAACACAACCGACTCCCCCAACACAACCCCTGGATTATCCTTATCTCCTCAGAGTAGTTCGAACAGCTGAACAGCTAGTCTATGCAGCAGGAAGAGACAAGAAGAGATTGAGAAATGCTCTACAAGAGATATAAGAAGATATGTTACCTTGGCTCAAAGATGATATCTCCTCTTCCGAAGCATCCACTGCTAGAACTCCTAGTCCGGAAATAGCTCTAGAAGATTTATCTGAAACAGAGCTGCTCCAAATGATCCTAACCCAGAGCTATAAATTAAGAGTCTGAGTTTAGATATCCTGAACCTGTATCTAAAGAGATGCAAGGAACAGAAGAAGCTGTTCATAGACCACCTAATTTGAAGCAGCTACAAGAAACTCTACAATCTTGAGAATCCCATGAGGAGCAGCTAAATGAGAACCCTGGTCCCAGGGAAGCTTCTCTTCCAAATCCAGGACAAGATTGGGATCTTCATGAAAGAGAGGATCTGAGGATAGCTTACATGAAGTATCTCAGAACCAGAAATAACATTGAAACCATTGAGGAGCAGCTCCGAGCTCGGGATCTTCTTTGGATGGTTTTGCTACCTCTAGACCGCTTTGAACCACAGCCTGGACTACAAGAAGCAGTAGCTGAGCTAAACAGACTTAATGAGTTTAGAGTTGTACAAAGGATAGATTTACTGCATCTCGCTGAACGATTGGTTTCCAAACAGAATGTAATAACACATATAAATAAATATTAACAGATGTATTTATACCAATAAAATATAAACTGATAAATCCCATTCATTTATACTCTGAGAGATAGATATCAAACTATATGAAGAAATAGAGTTGGGTGGTTTATGAAACTGGTATTGGGATCGAAAGTGAAGACTTTGCATTAGACCCTTAATAGAGGAGGGGGCAAATGTTTTACCTTGATATCCCTAGGATTTATTTCTGGAATTTGAATGATATAAAGTGGTTTATTCATAACAGTAGTCCAAATATGTTGCAAATTCATAGCCCCATATAATTTTTTTTGAGATTTGATAAGACTAACTAAGCTTTAAAAAAAGGACAATTATTAAAAAATCTGTTAGATATTTTTTATTTTTTTTTTTACAAAACCACATATTTTTCCAGTTATGTATAGAGAATTCTGGAGTGAACATCAGAGTTTAGATAGTTCATCAACTCATCAATCAAACCCGTCTTCAAACTCTGAGCAAAGCTAAAAAAGTAGAATAATTTTAGTTTTATGGGAACAAATAAAAAAATAATTTTAATGAAACTTTCATTAAAAAATGAATCTACCTAAGCATTGTAAGTTTTGTAGGTTTTGTTTTTATCTTTCTTTCCGCAGCCTTTAGGAGCCTGACAGAAGGAAGCCTGAAATATAATATTTTTAGGAGCCTGAAATAAATATATTTAGGAGCATGGAAGAAATATATATATTTAGGAGCCTGACAGAAGGAAGCCTGAAATATAATTTTTTTAGGGGCCTGGAAGAAAGGAGCCTGAAATATAGTATTCTGAGGAGCCTGGCATGCAGAGCTTGAAATATATTTATTTAGGAGCAGCTGGCAGAGGGAAGTCTGAAATATATATTAGGAGCATGGAAGAAGGGAGGCTAAAATATAATATTTTTAGGAGCCTGGCACGCAAAATGGAGCCTAAAAATTTATATTTAGGCAGCTTGCAAAAGAGAGCCGTAAATAAATATCTTTAGGAGCCTGGCCATAGGGAGCCTGGCCAAAGGGAGCCTGAAATAAACACTTTTATAAGGCTGTCAGAAGAGAGGCTGAAATACAAAATTTTAAGGAGCCTGGCAGTTAGAGGCCCGAAATATGATATTTTTAGAAGCCTTACATGAAAGGAGCCTGGCCTTAGGGAGCCTCAAAAATACATAATTAGAAGCCTGGCAGCCTTGCAGTGGAAATAATATAACCGTGAGCATTCACCCTGTGTTTATTTCATGGGGTTATTAGCATCCTTCTTGTGGCAAACTATTCGTTTTTAATGTTTAGTTGGGTAAAGGGATATGTAAGCGTTATTTCAAGAGACCCTTCATGCTAAACAGAAATCGATCAATTCACAATGGTACCCTTAAAATCGATCAATTCACAATGGTACCCTTAAAATCGATCAATTCACAATGGTACCCTTAAAATCGATCAATTCACAATGGTACCCTTAAAATCGATCAATTCACAATGGTACTCTTAAAATCGATCAATTCACAATGGTACCCTTAAAGTCTTGTCTGTTTATTTTGAATTGGGGTTTCTCTACAAAAGTGACTTTCGCATTTCTATTGCAGGAATATATTTTGGGATTATCTGAATCAAATTTTAACCCTAGAAAAACGACAATATTTTCCGTAGTATTATTCAGATAAATGTTTCAAGGGTATCGTTGTGATTGGACATTGCCATCTTTGCATGGAGGGTCAATTAAATTTGCGCTTACACCCCTTTTTAAAGGATTAAAAGGGATGTATTTTTTTTAGGGTACTTTAGCATTTTTTTAATGCATTATACATGTGTAATTAGATTTTCAAAATCTTTTTTATTTCAGAACCAACTTTACCCACTTTTATTCAGCTAAAACGATACTTGAGCCCAGCGAAAATACCAAATATTTTAGGTCCAAAGTCAATATTTCTCAAATGTAAAACGGCAAAAGCAATTACAAGTGCGTCTGTACAGATTAATCTAAAAAGGTGCCTCATTAAATTATAAAAATGTCCAACCCNAGATCAGATAACTAACCCAAGCTGCTGGAGCCCAGCAATGATATCCTTGATCTCTTCAAACACTTCTCCAGTGTTGACCGGAGTCTGGTCTGCAGGAATATCCAGCTCCAGGTTCTGCAGAGCCTCAAGCTCCTCCAGAAACAGATACTTCTCCAGTTCAATTTCCAAAGGTAGCAGATGTCTCTTCCTAATCAAAGGTATTAAAGGGACCTTAAGCGTAATCTCAAGAGAAGCATGTCCGATCCACAACGGCACCCTATACACATTTTTCGGACAACGATGAGGTAGCTATACCGATACTCAATTGTACAGCTGAAGATTGAGTGGCGGGGAGACACGAGGTAACAGTGTACACTGTACTCTCTGTGCTAGTGTACACTAGCGCGGTTTTTACCACTTAATTTCCCGCCATATAAATAAGAATATTAACAAAATCCTTGATCAAACAAACGGTATCGTTGTAAATCGGACATGCCACTTTTTTCTTTCTTTTTTATTCAAATGGAAGGTCAGTTGAAATTATGCTTACAGCCCCTTTAAGTCTTTGCCAAAAACCAAAATTAAATTTTCTGATCACATTCTTTAAGTAACCACGCAGTGTAAACCAATTAAATTTATACAGTTATTTTAACATTATTGCACGATGATTACTTTAAATCACGTCAATAAATGAAATTTTCGATTAAGTAACCACGAATACTAATACGAATACATTGTATACACAAACAAAAAAGCATGTTTCGGTGATTTTGTTAGAGTTTAACTTTTGAAATTTGATTATCCATAAATCTTCCCCGGGGTCATGTGAGGACCCACACAAAATTTAGGCTCAATCGATTTAGCTGTTTTGACGTTTTTTGAATACTTAAACTTTTTATGAAATAACCTGCATCACTTCTACTTTGGCACAAAAAGTTTAAAATAGTCTATTTATCCCTATGAATTTGAGTTTGTTGCAAAGACTCAATTCCTTGTTTTTTCAGAACTGTGTTTGACCGGGAAAATACCTTCTCTAATCTTTTCTCGACTATGACGATGGAATTTTATCAAAAAGTTTCGAAAACACTTGGAAAAGTAAATTATCGGTTAAAACAGTTTTTCCTGGCAAATCCTCTCTAATTATAGTGAATACATAGTTATTATATCCTGTTTTTTGTAAAGTCTTTGGTATATGAATTGAATAAGCTTTATATTAAAGCATAAGAAATGTTTTATTCTTATATCTTTATGAAGGCACGCACCTCTGACCCTCTAGTAAAAGTAAATTGAACCTAAAGTCTGACCGCGTCAACCTTATTGCACGGCTAGTCCTATTGAGTGTCGGCTTTCTTTACCCAATGTCCGGGAGATACAGTACAAACAGGGACCGGAAATTCAAATGTACTACGGCTGCCCGTGAAGGTTTGATGCTTCTATCCCCAAAAGGGACTGTAAGTGTAATTTCAAGTGACCCAGCATGCAAGGAGGGGAGATGCCAGATTAACAACAATACCCTTGTCACTCTTATCAATAATGTGGAAGATAATGTAGTTTTCTAGGTTCTAATGGGTTTTATATTAATAATTCCTATAATTATTTCTGCAGTGGAAATGCGCAAGACACAGAGAAACCACAATTGAAAATAATCAGTTTTTAGAATTATAAACGTTAATATCTTTTTCATACTTAATCAGACAAAGCTTTTAAGGGTTCTGTTGTTAATTGGGAATTGCAGTTTTCGCATGGAGGATCGCTTAAAATACGTTTATAATCCCTTCAGTTATTTCTGGTCATTTCTGCCGGCCCTTGATAGCTACCACCCCTTGCCTCTATAACCCTTGATCGATTCCCTCCTTTGGTCCTATCAATCCTTAAACCGCTAACCTTTGGTCCGCTTTACCATTGATCTTTTACTATGAAAATTTCCCTCTTAATCAGATGTCTTGATTTATTAGAAGTCATTTCAACTTATTATTTACCTCTTGAAATCTTTAGCGATCCTCCCAGCTCCCGGTGGTGCTTTCAACGCCTGAAAGAACAAACTGTAATACAGGGTTCTTGCAACAAACTCTTGTGCCTTAAATCACCATATCTTTGCGACCTAATGTTGTATACCTTTGATATTTCAAAAAATGAATTCTGTTAGATCAGATAGTCTAAGTTTTAAATATCAAAGGTGTACTTCATCAAGATACGAGGATAAAGGGATTAGAAAATTTAAGTTTGTAGCAAGAACTCAGTTCCTTTACGGAAAGAGCAAAATTAAACTCAAGTATGAAAATAGAACGTTTACATACCACGGTTCTTTTCCCGACTTTAGATTCTATATCCTGTATTCTGATGTTCTCTAGGTCAGGTTGACTCCTGAACAGCTGCCGGAGAACCCGTTTCAGCGCTAACAGTCCTGGAGGAGTAGGATACGAACCCTTGGAGAGTATTTCCGTGATGAACTGCTGGAAGAGAAAAGATTTATCTGGCCCAGGAGATACATTTAATTTCATCAGTTCGATGGGTATCATCCCCGCCATATTGTATCCGGTGGCCTAAACAGCATGTGCAGGTTAAAATTGTTAGTTTCAGGATAACGCTTAACTACATCTACTAAGAACAAACTTTTTTATTTGAAAGATTTTAGTGACAGGAGCTGATTTTTTGCAGCAAATTCTAATTATTTAATCCCTATATCTTTGCAACTTGATGTCGTAAAACTTTGATATTTTAAACTATGAATTCTGTTTGATCAATTAATAAGTTTTATTATCAAACTGATTTAAGGAAATATGAATTAGAAAATTTCCTTCCGAAGGTACAGGAGAAATCAACCAGGAGATAATTAAGAAATGATAAAATGACAGCATTAGTAAATTAAACCACCAACCTCAAAGATTTTTTCTCTAATACTATAAACAATGTCTTTGACCAAACTGGTTTATTATTTTTGTATTCGAAACTTAGATAAATTACATACATAACTCATCTGAGTCCGGAACTTTTGATTGAGATAAACATTAGGTAAAAAAGCCAATTTGATTCCCTTCACTTATGAATTTACTAAATAGATGGATAAAGAAAAGGTTTTTATGTTGGGGATNGAAAAAAACTCTTATAATTTGGAACCAACTTGTCAATTTAAAAGTTACCATCTCAAATCAACAAAAAATTCAAAAGTTTTTACCATTTGTGTTTGGAGAGTACTGATGAGAACCAACGCATTAAGAACACTCACGCAGCAAACCTAAATCATTTTTGATACAGTGAATACCAGAAAACTGTGGAAAAGGAAGACGACTTTACAGCAAAAATGTTAAGTGTATTTGATGTTGTAACAAAGCAATTGGCTTCACAGTTAAGTTATGAAATCACTTATTTAGTGAAATGGGTCTATTTACATTGCAAATTTGGGTCTAATGTTCATCAGGATGTTTAAGGTCATAATTTGAGTATTATAAAGATTTATTAACACACGTGTTGATAAGTAGTTTTACAATGAAAAAAATATGCAAAATTATACAAACATAGGCGACATTGATAATTACTCATTACATAACATATTTATCATTTCGGTTATTACGTAATCATCGAATCCTTTAACATGTAAATTATTCATTCATGTTTTTTATAGTTCTTGTAAAATCGAAAATTTCCATGCATGGTCCAATTGGACATCAAAATGTTTTTGTTGTGTTTCTTAACTAAAATTTTACTAAGATCAGAAAGATTTACAAAACAATTATTTGCAATGGAAAATAAATTTCTGCCAAGAACTGTGTTAAATAAATTAGAAAGAAATATAATGCAAAGCTTAGAACTTGCTTCAATAGTCTCATAGAAAGACACACATCTACTGGCTAACATAGTTTTTACATGTAAACATTGTAATTATCAGAGTATTATTTCACGCTGAACTGAATAGATCTAAACATGTCCAAACATAACGACTTGAAGACAATCAAGTTTCATCTCTCAATGATCAATATTTAAACGTTTCATTGTATCTTCCTTGCATACTTTTTATCATATATACAATATTATTTTTAAACAGATTTTAAACTGTGTTTAGCTTTGATATATTTATGAAAGACGACATTACTGTTTGTCTGTCTAACCATGCAAAGCAGGTAGTTTCAATTTGAACTCTAAACCTAACACAGATGAGGAGATGTTTTCCAAGATGAATTTATCAATATTAAAGGTAATAGTTTGTAAACCTTAAATAAACTTTAGATTGTATTATTGAACGCATAAGTGTATGCATATTTATCAACTTTTATATCTTAACTATTTTGTATATTTCAGTAATGTGTCTTTGCTCATTATATTTACAAGTCTACTCAGACAAAACTTGTTGTCTGGGTTTTATTGAAAGGAACGCTGAAATTGCCTCCTCTAAATTCAAACCGACAAGCTGAAGTTGATTATACATATTTTAATTTGATTTTGACATATTTATTGAAGACGCTCTCAAACTTCAGATAACCTCCCAAGTACTTATATTTCCTATTTTAAAACTGTTGTGGTTATCTTTTTTATTAAACTTTCACTTTTTTGTGATATGCGGTTGATTTAAAAAACGTTAATTTTCGTTTTGATGGTGAAACTTTTATTAAAGCCATTAAAACAGTAAAATTTTAGATTAAATTTTTGCATGATTTAATATATTTTTTTGTTTTCATGCAAAGAATTATAACATTTTTCTGCAGCGAATTTAAAATGTTAAATCGAATAATTAAGATATTTTTGTGCAGTAAATTTGCACATTCACATGCAAAAAAAAAACATTTTTCATTCAATGAATCATTTCAAAACATTTAGGTGTATAAAATAATTTATGACATTTAAGACGAAAGGTATCTAGTCTTTGTCACAAACTTAAATTTTCTAATCCCTATATCTTTGTAACCTGATGATGTAAACATTTGATATATCTAACAATTATATTATTTGATATGACAGAATTTATAGTTTGAAATATTTAAGGTTTCCAATATTGGGTTGCAAAGATATATGGGTTAGAAAATTAGAGTTTGTGAAAAAGACTCAATTCCTTTGAATTATAGATTAAAGTGTGACTAAAAAATATATCAATACATACAGGATGGAAATTAAGTATTCTGCCCTGAGTCTATCCATTTAATGGCTTATTACACTCCTGAATGCTTAGTCCATTAGCGCCTGATCCAATCAGGGTTCAGTCATGTGTATGTTGTCTATTCTAATAGAAGTAGTATGGCGGTCACATCTATCTATCTCATTATCCAATTAAAGTTATGAATCATCAATCAATCGGCACTATCAGTAGATGGAAATATTTACTTCTATTGAAACTACAGTGATTAAGAGATTTGACAAAGAAAGAAATGAGTTTAAAAATGCAGAAAATTATGAATATAAGAAACGAGACAGTATTAATTCCGTACAATCGTCTCTGAAGTCTCATCCTTTGTGAGTAACCCTGTACGCGTACCTTGTATTTAGCCATCTACCCGGAGAACCTGGGACGGATTGAAGAGTATAAGGCAATCTCTAATCCTTAAATAAGCTCTCTGCCAATTATTATCAGAGCCATAGTTTAGAAGACCTTTACTATTGATCAGGTCTAGATATCCTAACATATAAATGGAGTGTTCGCAAAAAACGAAAGGGGGGTTAGGCTGTAAATCAAATTTGGATTTGTACTTCTGTTTGTTGCGTCTATAGGAAATATGGTTGAACATGATTAGTTTCCAAAAGCATAGAGACTATGTAAATTCACTTAGTAGTAGTATTTCACTCCAACTGTAAATAATTCAATTAAATTTAAAACTGATCTTATTTCCAAGTTTTTTTTCGCCTTAAATTTGTTTTATGTCCAATTAAGAGCCTTCTATGTGACGCGCATTATACCAAAAATCATCAAATTATTAAGATATCTGAGGAAAACTAAGAAAAAAACATAGTTTTCTTCAGATATTAAATAATTTGATATAGACTCTAAATTTGACATAAAACAATTTATATTTTATTTATAATTTATATTATAACTTGGCTTCGCGCCAATCTTCTATTTCAGCTTCTGATTGTGGCTTTATCTGTGAGCATCTTTTCTTTGTACAGTATAAAACAAAAACAAAAAAAGTTTTCGGATTTCATATTATTTTTTCAAAATTTTACAAAAATAAAAAACTTTTAAACTCAAATTTTTAAAATTTTGATCATTCATAAACCTTCCCTGGG